CCTTAGGATATATCTACACTGCAAGTGAAGGTGTGATTGTAGCATGGGTAGGCCTTGCTACATTGCTAGCAAATCTAGATAGTACAGGTAACAATATTAGTGAAAATATGGTGGCATGGGCAGTCATGCAAGTACCTACCTAAGGTCCCCGGTGGGATTGTACCCAGGTGGATAATGCTGCCACGTCTTCACTATTATTGTCCCTTGTGCTAGCTAGATTAAAGCTAGCATGGGTATGCCTACTCATACTACAAATACAATCACACCTTCACTTATAGCATGGACATGCCATTAGATGCTGAGTAGGGTGGGTATAAAAGAGTTTCATTGAGCTTAAAGGAATCTAACTTTAACTTTCACATCACCTCTTGGTCCTTTCTACCCACTTTACTTTTGTTCTTCATCCAACCCCTTTACAGCTGCAAATTCTCCCAGTGCTGAAACTATATGGGGTGCTGTTACCTCTAAGCCCAAGTTTGCCAAGGCCATAATCAAATAAATACCCTGGTTTTAATGAACTCCCTTTGAAGTGTAAGACTAGGGCAGCGGTTCTCAAACTGTGGGTTGGGACCCCAGAGTGGGTTGCGACCCCATTTTAATGGGATCACCACGGCTGGCGTTAGACTTGCTGAGGCTCGGGGCTGAAGCCGAAATCTGAGCCCCACCACCCAGGGCTGAAGCTCTCAAGCTTCGGCACCCGCCAGGATGGCAGGGCTTGGGCTTGGGCTTTGGCTCCCCAGCCTGGGGTGGTGGGGCTTGGCTTCCGTCCCCCTTCCCAGAGTCATGTAGTAATTTTGTTGTCAGAAGGGGGTCACGGTGCAATGAAGTTTGAGGAACCCTGGACTAGGGCCACCAATATGGCTCATCTCCTTAAGGTCCAGTCCAGGTCCCAGATCTCCCATGAAAGTTGGAAAGTACCAGAGGCACAGACAACTTTCTTTATGGGGAAGTGGGGGTGGAGGAGGGGACTACAGTTAAAGAAATAATAGAATAATAGCTGTTGAATATAGTTTTAATGAATAGTTTTGTACCATGACTAAATTTGTCCACTTTTAATCAAGTGAGATAAGCAAGTTTCTCTTCCAAACTCAGCATTTCCTTTCTTTGTTAATACAATCCTTAGACTTTTTTGGGGGGAGAGGGGGATAAAGCGCCCGTCAAGCCTCCAGTTGTCTTTGTCCCTGAATACCGGGAAGAAAGTTGCTCTTGTGTGCAGTCTCACCACCCTGGCCATTTTCCTCCTTGATTCTCCTTGTTGGGCAGCTGGGAAGCAGAGCTACTTGCCAGTTATAGACAGTAGGGGCTGCTTCTGACCTTGCCAGCTTGTATAGTTTGGGAGGGAGTGGAAACTGGCAGAACAACAATGGTAGCAGAGTATGAAAACAGCTGCAAGTCAAGTGTGGCAGTGCTACTCCAGGACTTTCATGTTCAGTGGGCCAAATTCTGATCTCACCATGTGGTAAATCTGGAGTGCATCCATTGAAGTCAAAGGAGTTAGTTACATCAGCTTATAACACTGTGAGATCAGAAGCAGACCCAGCCAGTTTGGTTGCATGTAGTGCATTGGGGGTTTAAATGAGCATTGGGCATGTGGAATTGATGTGAATTTAGAGAAGAAATAATTGAGAATGTATACATTGATTAATGTATTAATTGATTAGTCTCGTTAGAGTTGGTATGGCAACCCCCATTTTTTCATGTTCTCTGTGTGTGTGTATATATATATATCTTCCTACTGTATTTTGCACTGCATGCATCTGATGAAGTGGGTTTTAGCCCACGAAAGCTTATGCCCAAATCAATTTGTTAGTCTCTAAGGTGCCACAAGTACTCCTAGTTCTAAAAGCTGGGTGTTAGCTGTCAGGGGTGTGTGAGGTTTTCGGAATCAGGCCCAATACATACAGGTTTGCTATTAACACAGGACTCAAGGCATTTTGAAACTGAAAAAAGAAGGAATTTTCGTTAACTGCAGCGGGCTGTTTACATCAAACTTTTGTTTTTCAGCTCACGGCAAGTTTGTTACAGGGACGAGAATTAGGGCATTACCTCAGTATTCACATGCCAAATGCAGCCTCTCTAGATGAACCATGTGGAGGTTTGGGTTGGCACAAGTTCTTCAAAATAAAATATTAGCCGGGCGGCCTCATGACTATGAGGTTAAACTCACAGACATTAAAACACTTTATTAAAGGGGAATGTTTTTATATGTACCAAGGTGGATCTGGATGAACATAGGTAGGTGGCAGATTAAAGCAGCCTGAAAAAAGCCCTGGAGCTATAGGCACAGCCCGTGTTATATACTATGCTCTAATCCTCATGTGTGCTCAGACAGGTAATTGTTTTTTATTGTGTTTTGCTACTTCATTCTTAGGGCCATCCCTGTATAAAATGATACATGCCCCATCCATCACTCTGCCCAGGGTGACTAGGACCCACTCCTGTGTACCCATGACACTGTCCCCATCAGCTGCTGCTGCTGCTGCTTTCTCCATACAGCTGGTTGTGAGGCTCTCTGATTTCTGGTGCTCCATCCTAAAAGAACCAAGGAGCCAGGAGATAAAGCTGGCAACAAGGGAGGAATGCTAAGGAATTCATTCTCTGCCATTGCTAGCTGGTGCTAAAGTTAGATGAAATAACTGATGGGCATTGAGTCTGAAACTCTGGTTGGAAGGTTGGGTGTGCAAATGTGGTGAGTGGCCCTGGAAAATCCTGGGCCATATTCACAACTGCATAGGTCTAAATATGCTACTGCTATGGTGAAATACTAATAATGAACTAACACTGTACAAAGTATTTAACAAAATTATACCTGGCAAGTAAGATCTTGTAACTTCTGCACATTTCTATTGCTTATAAAATTATTTTCTTCTGAATTCTAGTCAGTTGCAAGCCTCTTATCAATTATACGTCTTATATAGTTTACATACAATGCTCATTTAGGCCCCAGAGGGTCCTGTGGCACCTTTAAGACTAACAGATGTATTGGAGCATAAGCTTTCGTGGGTGAATTAAAGGTCTTAAAGGTGCCACAGGACCCTCTGTTGCTTTTTACAGATCCAGACTAACACGGCTACCCCTCTGATATTTAGGCCCCAGTTCAGCAAATTATTTAAGCACTTGCATAACTTTAAATGTGAGGCGTTCTATTGAATTAAATGGAATGACTCATGTGATTAAAGTTATACATGTGCTTATGTGCTTTGCTGGATCTGTGTCTTAAAGGAATACAAAGCTTTACCATGTGCTTTTGAGAGAGCATTACTTTAGCTTCACTTTCTATAATTAATCTAAACTCCAGCACCCACTCCTTTTTCCCCTTATGCCTGTACCAGCTTCTGCAAAACCCTAAAAAATATAGTAAACTAATAAAAAAATTAAGACAAACCTGTAATAAAATATATTTAATTATGTTCCTGCACAAGCTGCTTACCTTTCCCCTTGTTTTCTGGTATTTCTGCCCAGCCCTACTCCACTTCATGGTCTGTAGTTGTTTCTGCTGATCGACTCACATGGCTACCACTCTGTTCCCCTTATCTGTTCGGACTGTAAACTCCCGGAAACCAGAACCTCATCTTCTTACTTATCTGCCCAGTGCCATGCACATCAGTGGCACTATATAGAGAAATAAACAAGCTAAGTGAAAGAAGAATTACATAAAGACCCCCAAACTAATAATATAATAACCACCATAAACAAGCACCCCCAATAAAAATCATAATCAATAACTTAAGGTGTTTCTAATTTCAAATAACTGCTTTAATTAGCAACCATTGTACTTCAGTTATAAATGTAGGGAGGAATCTATAGCAGCATTAAATGTACCTCCTTGAGTGAAAGCTAGAGCAATGGTACAGCTTTACAGTACAATAGCGGTAACTATTTCATGTAACCAGTTAATTCTATCAGAATGCTATTTATCAGTTTTAGTTTTTGAACAAAAACAGCACCCTCAAGAAGCATGCATAACATTCAAAAGCAAACACATGCTCCCATTGTTGCACCCTTTGTTCTCCCTTCCCTCTCCTCCCCTCCCATTCTTTGTGTCCCTCACTCTTTGTTACATCTTAGCTTCTAGCCAGATCTTTAAACCCTTTCTTATGTGCTGAGTATTCACTCACACAAGCATTACCTTTGATTTCACTGCAGCTATGCATGTGAGCAAGGGTTTACAGGATCATGAGAGGGCCCTGATGCTGAGAAGGCCTATGCACATAATTAACTTTACACATGTGAGCAGTGACTTCAATGTGTATTATTGATGTGCATAAAATTGAGCACATGCCTAAATCCATATCCCTGGTCCTGCAAAGATTGATGTAATCTTTCAGCTGAGGAAATTAAAACAAAAAAAAAATACTTTTGTTGGTAAAGTACCATGCACAACAATAGTGCTGTATACATCAATGAATAAATAAATAATTATAGAACTACAACAAAGAAGACAGATGGGGTTGACAATGATGGCGATGATAACAACTTTGGGGGAAAAACATAGTCCTGTGTTGTTTAAAAGCCAGAGGGGTGCGTGCTATCTTAAGTTCACTTCCATCATAGACGACTCTGATTCCCAAAGGTATTTAGGTGCCCAACTTCCGCTGATTTCACTCAGTGACCCCTGTTTGCAATGAATACCGCCTCTGAAAGCAACATATCACAGCAACTGGCACAACTCTGACCCCCCGCCCGCAGTAATGTAGCCACCTAGGTTTGACGCGGCCTGTAGGCGTCACTGTTCCAAGTAAAAGTTGCCCTGACGCCGATGACGATAATAACACAGCCCCCTGCCAGCTTCTTCCCCTAGCAAGAATTCCTCCAAGAGGGCTGGGGCTGCCTTCCAGCTGGGCTGCCCTCCCTGTGCATTGTGGGACTCGTAGTCCTCCGAGGCACGCGTTTGCTGGGAGCTGGGGGGAGGCGGGACTACACGTCCCACAAGGCCCGCCGGGCAGCTGGCTGGCCGTTCCTTTTGAATGATTTCACTGCGCTCTGCCTGCCCAGCTAGTTTCGCAGCCGCAGCCCGCAGGAGGAGGCAGGAATCATGGTGTAAGGGGCTGGCTGGGGCGGGGGTGCAGCCAGGGGCGAGAGCGAACCGAGCGCCCTGCCCGTTTCATGGCAGCCGGGGGAGCTGGCAGCGCAGCAGCGGGGCCAAGTTGTGCTCGCCGAGGGCGGCCCATGGCAGCCCAGCGGCTGCGGGGGTGTTAAGGGCGCTGCGTCCGCCCCCCTGCCCGGCTCGCCCCGCAGCCCCCCTCGCTGCGTTGCCCCGCCGGACGGGGACGGGAGGCGCCGCTCCCGGCCGGCCGCGATGGCTCTGGCTATGGAGGAGGAGGACTACGCCAAGCTGGTGATGGAGTCGGAGCCGGAGTGGCTGCGGAGCGAGCTGAAGCGGCTCTCCCAGGAGCTGGGCGAGACCACCCGGGAGAAGATCCAGGCGGCGGAGTACGGGCTGGCCGTGCTGGAGGAGAAGCAGCAGCTCAAGCAGCAGTACGAGGAGCTGGAGGCGGAGTACGAGACCATCCGCACGGAGATGGAGCAGCTGAAGGAGGTGAGCCGGGGCCCGGGGCAGTGGCCGGCTGGGGGCCAGGGGGTGACCCGCCGGGACTGACTGCCCTGTGCCCGTCTGTTGGAGGGAGAGTGGGCAAGGCAGAGAGCGCGGGCCAGGGGCTGCGGCACATGAAGGGGGATCTGGAGACCCGGGGTGCCTCAGCCACTGTCTGACCTTGGGCAAGGCCCCCTGAACCTTTGGGGGCCACGCTAATCTCTGGGGTAACTCCGCTGCAAAGGCTGGGAGGAATTTGGCCCATCTGTAATGGGAGGCCGGTCACACATCCTGGGGCTGCAGCAAGGACTAATTCACTGCTGCCTGCAAAGCAGCCTGCTCTCTGCAGTGGGGAGGGGGCACGGGAGCGCAGAGGATGCATTGCTACTGATGGATGTTCTGGGCATGCATGTTTCTGTCTGGTCTGTGTCTGTGCGAGGCAGTAGCGATGTAATTCACCCTCCCCGGGAAGTCTGTCTTCAGCCCTCACTGGAAAGCAGCTGTTGGCTGCATCTTGGCTTCTTCCAGCTCAAATGAAGAGCATCGTCATCGTCTCCAATGCAGTGCAGTGTCACAGCTAGATCCGGCATCATCATGCACATCATTGCTGGCGTAACGCTATGCAGCCCTTTAAAGGGGCAGCTCAGCAATTCCTCTAAGACCCTGTGCCCTTCCAATGACATCTGCTGTGTCTTCTCTCAGCTGGGCGAGATGCACAGGAAAGAGGAGACTTGCGATTAATACGCTGGAGATCAAGTGCCAGTCTGTTACTGTGGTGGTCATTGCAGGCGGGAGGGAATAATGGAAGTCGGACCATAATTCTGTTGTTTGCTGTATAATGGCATACCGTTCAGAGCTCTCCAGATACCATTTCTAATATAGAACCCAGTTCCCTGAATTTTAAGGGTGCAATTTAATATTGGGATCAAGTTTTTCATCTCTCTCTTTTGCCTTTCCTGTCCCTCCAAATATACACAGATTTTGAATTAAATTATTTAATCTGGTTGTTTATAAAAGGGATATATATGGGGGTGAACTATGAGTTCCTTAGTATTAAGTAGATTTCCCCACCTAAGTACAAAGGTTACTACTATTTTAAAATGGAAAAATTGCTGGTAGAAAGTAATTATTAGGAGTAGGCCTTCTTATAAAAGTCTGAATTGCTGATATTTAAATACTGGCTACAGAGCATTCACAGGATCTTTTCTGTACAGAGCTGATGGTTCTCCAATAAGTTAGCCTTATAATAAACAATCTGTAAAGACCAGAAAATGAATGAATGGCTGCACAATATGTGTAGAAATGCCATACCCTGTGCCAAAGATCCATGTACTACTGAGCCATTCAACACACTTGTGTTGGCCATCCATGTCAGAGCTTTGACATGACATGGAGCTTCCTGTAAGCAAAGCAGAAAGTACAGAAATCAAATAATTGGCCTTCTGAGTGAGTGTCAAAGTGTAAAGCAGCGGAGTGTCAGCATGAACTCAGAAATTCCTTGCTATTGCTGGCTTGTCAAACTCTTAGGACCAAATGCAGGCCCCCAAGCTTTGAAGACCCTCACCTCACAAGGCAATGGGCTGGGGGAGGGGAGAGTTCCCACTTTTCCGGCTGCTAATTGTTCGGGTAGAGATCATTTTCTGCAATAGTAGATTGGCAGGATAGCTTCACTTTACATTGGGATTATAGGGTAATTACAAGGAGGACTTGCTTCTTCTCCCCTACCACTCAACCAGGGGTGGGGGCAGCAGTGTATTTACCTTCCCCCCCCCCCATTCCTACCCTCCCCTGACCCCCTGCCCAGCTCTGCAGACAAAGGGTATGTCTACACTGGAAACTTCAAAGTGCTGCCCTGGGAACGCTCCTGTGGCAGCGCTTTGAAGTGCGAGTGTGGTCGCACGCGAGCGCTGGGAGAGAGCTCTCCCAGTGCTCCTGGTAATCCACCTCCATGAGCCTATCTACACTAGCACTTTAAAGCCCAGAGCCAGCAAGGTAGAGCACTATAAAAAGTAAGTGTAGACAAGCCCAAAGGCCCTGACAGTCCCTCAATCTTCAGCCTGCAGTGGAGCGAGAAAGCATTTATTTCCTTGAGCCCAGGAGTACTGCTTTCTCTTGCCATGTTATGGTATGGGACCCTGTGGTCAGGGCAGAGAGTCAGAGCAGCTGTGCTCTCCCGTTCCCCTGGCCTGCTCAGTACCACTGACATAATCATCCACAGGGTGGGAATGGCAGAGCGAGGAAGCTAGAGAGAACCAGAGAGCTGTGGAAGGGCAGACCTCTTGGAGAGGAGTAGGCTCAGATCACATGGGGAAGCAGAGGACCTGTGAGGGGCTAGAGATCCAAAAGGGGAAAAACAGGGCATGAGGGACCAGAACTCCTGTTGAGGGAGGACCAGATACCTAGGAGAGTGGGGATCAAAGCTTCTGCAGAAGGGACCTCTGAGCGGGCATCGGAGGCCTGGGGGTATGGAGCTCCTGGGGATGCAGAAGGAATGGGGTGGAAGGGCAGATGATGGAATGTAGAGCAATGAAGAAGAGCATACACACGCTCGTATATGTGGCCAGTCTGTATTAGGCTATCTCTTCACTACCAGGACTATAGCGACATTGCTGTAGTTCTGCTGGCATAACCCCGTAGTGTGGACACAATTTACAGGGACGGAAAGGGTTTTTCCCTTTACCATCCCACCGACAATAGCTAGGTCAATGGAAGCATTCTTCCTTTGACCTAGTTGCGTCTTACACTGGAGGTTAGCTGGGCATAGCTATGTCGATCAGGGGTGTGGATTTTTCACATCCCATGAGCAACGTAGTTATGTTGACCTAAATTTGAAGTGTAGACCAGGCTTTAGAAAACTTGCACTGGTGTAACTGAGGGCTTGTCTACACAAAAACTGCATCCACAATACCAAATTCGTTTTAATTCACACCTTTTGGGTATGCCTACACTGCAACTAGACACCTGAGCCCTCTGACTTGGTCTCAGGCTGTGGGGCTGATTCATTGCAGTGCCTGGAAGTCTACACAGCAATGAAACAGGCTGGCAGCCCGAGCCCCATGAGCATGGGCCAGCCGTGGGTTTTTCATTGCAGTGGAGACGTGCCCTTTGTTTCAGTGCAGGTCTGAGTGTGTTTAAAACAAACCCCAGCTTAAGCTTTCTCCCATCAATATGGTTGTCAATTCTCTCCATATCTCACTCTTCTCCACCCTTGACTCTTTTGCCCCTCTTTCCCATTGCAAGGTCTGTCCTTCCAATCCCCTGGCTCACCCTCAACCTTATTCCTGCTCTAATGCCGCAGAGCATCTCTGGCAAAAATCCCATGACCAGGCGGCTTATTTCCTTGTGCTCCTCTGTCAATCTGTCTGTATTCGTTTATCTCTTATATTTAAACCTGGTCTACACCTAAAACAGGTCAATGTGGCTACATCACTCAGGGCTGTGAAAAATTTCAAATCCTGAGTGCTGTAGTTAGGACAGCTTAGCCCGCCCATTTGGACGTGGCTAGGTTGATGGAAGGATTCCATCAGCTAGACTGTGCCATGTCAAAAACAGAGAAGCAGCCAATTTCCTTGGAGTCAGCCGGTCTTAGTGTCATAAGTATGAGAAAAGATTTTAGTCTCCTCAAAATGAGTTTTTAATCTCACGCTTACTATGAACACTGATTCTATTCTCTCCCTATGTCCCAAATACACCTCTGTGACGCATGGCCAGAAAAGGTTAAACATCCTACAAAATAAATAACCCTCAAAAGATATGTGGGGAGATAATGTTTGTGTTTTTTTGTGTATTTATATATATATACACACACACACACACCTATTCATCTATCAAAGGATAGATATGAGTATGGTGGACAATGTAATCAACAGTCCTTGTCTATGATGTATTCTGATAGTTCAGACATCAAAAGAACATCCTAGCATTTAAGTGAATTGTAAACACGGGATATCTCGGTATTCATCGCTCTTTGAAATGTACTGTGAATGGTGGAGAAACAAGCAAATGGCCTTGTGTTAATTCTTATAGCTAAGTACCGGTGATGGACCTCCTTCAAAGTCATCCTAATTACCTTTTGTTCCCAGAGGAACTCCCAACTTGTCAAAGAGGACATGAAATTGTATAAAAGATCCTTGGGTCCTGATTCTGTCATCTCAGCTCTGCTTAAGCTTCATCAGAGGAAGTTTGAGTCATAAGACTGAGGTCCCAGTTATGCTGGTACGCCCTGAATATGAGATTTGGACATTGCACTATAACCTATGAACTATTTCTGAAAGAACTCTTTGCAACTACAAAGCCCACCATCTCTGCTATGAATCTGAACCTAAATGGATTGTATGTATATTGATCTTTTAACCATACTCTCTCTCTTGTTGTTTAACAAATTTAAGTTTAGTTAATAAGAATTGGCTGTAGCGTGTATTTGGGTAAGATCTGGAATATTCAGTAACCTGGGAGGTAATATGTCTGATCATTTGGGATTGGTAGAACCTTTTCTTTTATATGATGAAATTTTCAGAAATCATCATATTTGACTTAGGTACCTGGATGGAGGCCTGAGGCTGGATCATTTTAAGGGAACTGTGTTGTTTGGACTTCCAGTAAGGTAATAAAAAAGCTGTTTTATGCTGGCTTGGTAAATCTAAGCATTGGAATATCCAACAGCTTTTTGGGGTTTGGCTGCCCCATTCTTTGCAGTTCACCCTAATTGAGTGACCACAGCTTGCGCCCACTGGGACCCTGGTCACAACCACTCATTAGCCTGTAACCAGCTCACTAGATCTATGAAGAGAATATGTACAAAAATATAAACTTTTTTACAAGTAGATGTAGTGCCATATTCTGATTTTAGCTACACAGTGTAAATCTGTAGAGTTGAATTCATTCTGGATTTGAGACAGCGTAACCAAGATCTGAATCTGTCCAACACCGAGTCTTCATTTCAAAACAAAAGGTAAACTATTTAAAGTAATCAGTAGAAAGAATTCCTTTTATTTACACAAAATTCC